ACACGTTCCTTTTATAAATAATCCCACTTGTATACAAAAGTCTTCTTATAGCAGCTCGCCAAGGACTAATGCATGTTTGCTTGTTTATATCATTAAGCACTTATTAATTGCTCGGAATATCGTCTAATTAATTCCTTGGTCTTTTGATTAAAAATTAATCTTGTTACTAATCCTTTATCATTAATTTTTTTTTAATAATATTTTTTATCGTAAAAAAATACTACAGATCTCAACTTCGATGATTACGTCCTAAATTTTTCTAGCAATTATTCCTTGGATTTTGACAGGACTAACCTTCTTTTTACTTTTTCTTTTTAGCTAAATGGATTAAATCATTTTGAATTTAATACTTAAATTTCAAATTTAATTTTTAGAATTTTTGAACTTTTAATTTTTTTGAGAAATTATTCCGTCTTTTATAAGAAAATCTTTATTTTACCAAAACATTTCATGTAAAAAAAACAAAAACATTCTTTATTTAGTGGAAAGTAAAAACTAAGTTTTGTACTGTATGATGAGAATATCTCTTTTATTACATAATTATAACTGATAAGTTGTTAAAATTTAAACCTTACTTCATTAAAAAAAAAAAACCACTAAAAAGTCACTTAAACAAACGGCATCAAATTCAAATCTTCATATATATATATATATATATATATATATATATATATATTTAAATAATTATATTCATCTTATAAATCCAACATACTCGTTAAAGATCAGTTTGAATTTTTTATTTTGAAATACTTTAGAAATCTTAAAAAAGAACAAGCTATAAGCGAAGCTACCCTTTAAGTTATTTGAATTAACTGACTTTATCGGAAAAAAAAAAAAAAAAAAACTGTCACCTACAGTAGTGATAGAAATTAAATTTGATGTTACGGAATTTCAAAGTCTTGTTGAGTAGGGGAAAGAACAGTTCGGTAGAAGACGAAGAAGGGCAACTGGAATTCCCTCCTCCATGCTTTTCCTCTGGGGTACATTAGCGGCTGCTTGTGGTCCATAACCATTTGTCCTACATGAACTTCTAGAAGGAAGAGATATACAATTCGACTTGAGAATTTTCTTGTGAGGACTGTGGTCGTGTTATTACAAGTATATATGAATTTTATATATATATACATGTAGGGACATTACTAATACTCTTTGAGTAGGTTAAGGTTGCTCCTTCATTAGCGAACACTTAGTATCTAATTTCAACCCTAATATTTGAACTGAAGCTAAATATGTCCTTAATATTTAATTAAAATAAAAGTATCTTAAGTCTATGCGTACACGAACCTAGCTCTAAAGAGATTCATGCATCGAAAACTATAGTCTAAAATACATGCATGACATATAAAAAATGTCTGAATTATAAATTAGTCCCTTCCTTTTGTTTTAAAAATAAATAAATAAATAAAATTTTTAATTAATATTGATCATGATTAATTTAATATTATTTTATTAATAACAAATATCATATCTGCTCATTGATCTTTCCATATTATTTACTTAATTTGCCTTTTTTTTTTCTATTTCATAAAATAAAATAAAATGAAAAAGAACGAAAACATTTAAGTTATAAATAGATTTAAAAAATATAGAGACTAATTATTTTGTTTTAAAACTAGAAAAAAACTATTTAATTCATTTTGTAAAGCTAAAAGCACTAATTTACAATTTACTCCATATGAAAATTAATCGGTAACATCAACCCTTTGTTTTTTTTCCTTCAAAAATAAAAATATCTTTGGACTAATTTGTACATCAATGGAGATTTTTTATTTAGTTATGATATAATCTTCAAGTTTTCAAATTGTTGTACATTAATCTATATTAATCTAGAGGAATAATATTATCATTGTTTAATCCGTGAAGACCTTCCACTTACGAGATAACAAGATTTCACTATCACTTAGAAATTTTCAAGTTTAAACCTTAGAAGAGTCATCTAAAATGTTGTGTTGAATAGTTGGATTGCTCAAAATATTCGGAGTTTATTTGTCGTAACCTTGCGGCAGCGAATTGCTGCTTAATTTTAGTAAATTTGACTCTTTTTTGTGGCTTCATTAATTATAGAAGGATGTTGTTGGTTTTATGGCCAATTCCTGAAGACTAAATCTGTCAAATTAATAGCTTAAAAGCACCCTAAATGCCTACAGCCTTTGATTAATTTTAACTAAAAATTTAAGGGTTAATTGTTTCATCTAGTCTTATATATTGGTGGTATTTTCTCATATATATTTTTTAAGATTTTTTCTTTTCCATATATCCTTGTATATATATTCCTATTTTCTCTTATATGTCTTTTTTGTCACTTTTAGATCAAAATGTCCGACAACCATTAAAAAATAATAATTTTAAAAAGCCTATAAATATGAAAAAAAAATACTTATAAAATATTTTGAAAAACACGTGAAAAAGACTCTTATAGCATAAAAAACATTAAAAAAATTGAAAAAAATTAAAAAATAATACTAAGTTTTCAAATCTAAAAAATGAAAAAAAAACCATGTCCATAAAGCCTCGTAAATAGAAGTATGTCTATTACAACAAAATAAATTTTATAGGACATAGAATTCTCAAAATTTTCATTAGTTACCATTTTGTTTTTATTTAATTTTTTGTAGGTTCATTTTTGGGATGTTCCAAATTTTTATTATGTTTCTAGTTTTTTCAATTTTTTTCTAGTTTTTTAATTAAAATTCTATTTCTTTTTGTTTATAAATTAATCTTTGTGTGTTTTGAAAATTAAATTTTCTTTTGGTGGTTTAATTAATAGATTTTTTTTATCCAAAAGTAAAACAAGGGTATATGAGGAAAAAAAAGAATTTACAATGACATATAAGAGTAAATAATTCTTAAAAAGATGTTCGAAAGAATATGTCTAATATATAAAAACGAAATTTACACATTAACTCAAAATTTAACTAAAGAAATACTATTATCAAAAGTAGCTACAACTCGATTGATCAACTTATACGTTAATTTGTGAATTAAATTAATGTAATTGTGATTGACTGCTTTTGGTTATGCCGATCATTATGACTTGTTCAGTTAGAATTGACTGACGATAAATTATATTCATGGCATCCAGATAAAATGTATCTACTGACATCCATGCATTAATTAGCTACCAAATTAAATTTCTTGAATGAAATGTGTGAAGCCGGTATATTTTATTGTTGAACTAGAAGATTGGATTCAAACAGCATATACCAATCAGTCGTTTTGACTATTTGTTATGTCATGATCAAGTGATTTTTCGGTCCTTAATAATAGTATATTGAAAAATACATATAGGAAGAATATTAATTAACATAATTAGTCAAAACGGGTATATTTGCTTAAAAAACAGTACTAAGATTAATGTCACGTATCTTTCCTTGTTATCATTGAAAGAAGAAAAAAAAAAGATCCAAAACTCCAAAATATTTACCAAGTTATATTTTCATGATGATCCTGCAGATCCAAACCAACTTGGAAGTCCCCAATGGCCAAATCGATGACTTGCTTTATCTTGTAACTTGATGGCTGACCCCAGCTACGTCCATGGCTACCCTTAATGATGCCACGCATGAGATCAGCACCACATGGAAAAATGGTGATTCGTTTTGCCATTATCATCTTCTAGGTGTCTAACAACTTCCACGTCAACTTCTTTGAGATAATCTTGAAATGTTCAGCTTCTTAATTTCTAGTTGATCATAATTAATATGGTTAATAATGTCCTAGTTCCTGTATTCTCTTTAATTCTCCACCTCTAATAAAAGAGAAGACCTAGCTAGCTACTAGCTACAATATTTCTAGCCATATTAGATGATGCATGCACATCTTTCTCTCGATCCTTCACAAATTATTTTGTCGCCTCGAAAGGCAGGTTAATTAAAACATTTTATGCTTTCCTTTTTTGGTTGAAAACACAATTTAATTTATAAATAGATGATTTTTGTATAATTATTAATATGGTATTTATAAGGGAGCCGGAATTGGAATAGGGTTGGAAGGAGAAAGATGATTGATTTTGTCGTGCATTTGACAATTGGCAAAGAGTCTACTCGTTGGGGTTGACGAGGTTAGCTAGATTGATCAGTTCATAAGCAATTTTGACACCGTGGGAGACACGGCACACGTTTTTAATGTAATTGGATAGTTGGATAGGACTATACCCAATTACCCATCTTCTTTAATTTTTAGATCTTCCTTTTTTCTTTCACATACTTCTTCTAGAGGATTATACCTTGTACAAATTATTATACATACTATATATAGTTTCTAGGTGAAAAAATTTGCAAGAAATCGAGGAATGATGTCTATAAATGAACTTGAACACTTAAGAATAACATGTGGTGACATTACGTCAGTCAAGAGGGCATCTTCTAGGTTCTAAACTTCTAAATATACATGCCCACCTTGTTATCACCTACACATTCTGTATTTCAATCACAAAAATGTCTAAAAAATTTCGATAATGTAATGCTGAAAAATTGGAATAGAGTGGGATCGAACCTCATGTTCATTCAATTCAAATCAACACAATATTAATTTCGTACCAGATACAGCATCGTGTTGCAAATAAAAAAACTTGCAACAATCTTTGCAGGTGAAAAACAAGTGTCCATGTAAATGGATGGCAAATCAAGGTGAGTGGGGAAAATGGGAAATTGCTGTTGGAAGTTTTGTATACTCTTTCTTGATACCAATAATTATTTTGACATTGAGTGTATTAACAACTAGGCATCACGCAAAGTGAGGGTCAGGGTAGAGAATATTGCAATCTGGTAAGCTAAAAGGCCTTGCTCTAAGATACTTAAACCTCTCATTGGATGTAAGGATATTTCTTTCAGCTACAAGAATAAAGCGATAAAATCTTGTTGAAGATATGCCATCCTTTTCTTTTCTCCTTGGATTCTCGTTATGTACTCCCCTAGGTATCACTTTAGTATATAAACAACAGATGCCGCGACAAGATGACGCTAACTAGAAATTATTCAAGAACAGAGAGAAGAGAGGAAATGGAACCAGGTATTGATATTGAACAACAGTCCGAGTCCCCGTTGCTAATAGCAATGAAAGGCCATTCCGACAGCAACAAGAGCAAAGTAGCCCATGAACTGGCCCGGTTCCTCAATTTCCCTCTCGTCGGTGAAGAAGATATCATCCCAGCACTGCAGGAATCACTTGAAACTGACCATTATGATGACTTGCTACCTTTGGAAATTCTCTCTCAAATCACTTCAACCCAGCTCAGTTTAAAGCTCAGTGTTATTGTGAATGCTCAGCTCTCTCACCGTGCCCACTTTGACAGGTTGGTTGAGCTTGGATGCTCCACAGGTGCTCATCTAGTTGTCATTGAATGCAGCAATGAAAATGATCATGTCCAAGATTACTACGATGTTGGAAACGTCCCAAAGCTCAGAATTGACATCACAAAGCCATTTCATGCGGAGGACTTCATCAATGGTATGCTTAAAGCTGCAGTGCTGATTTAGAGGGTAGATCTCCGACTCCGCATAAGTACTACTCAGCTAAACTAAATCTTTCTAATGCAGTTGATTGCGATGGATTGCATTAAATCTTTTCCTTTTATCATGCACGTTTAGTGTCAAATTTCTCTTTCGTGATATGAAGTTTCTCTACCAAAAATGTTTCATGAGGCAATAATAATAATGTTGGTATGACATGGATGTTATTAGCTAGGTGCCAGTGCTCGCTAGGTTATTAGCAGCCAGGCTTTCATGAATCTGGTAGCATGTGTGTTATTCATGTCCTCCAATGCACAGGCCTAATTTCAAAGGACACGAAATGTTGCTTTATCCAAATGAAAAGAACGGTAGCAAAGCCTCCCTCTATGTGTGTGTACCTAGCGATCATCTTCATCATTTCATATGAGAGTAACTTAAAATACAAATTGCAGACTAAAACCAGAACAGAAGATAAACCAGTGTAACAATAGCTAGCAAACCAATTTCTCTTACGTTTGAACTTAACTAGGTCCCTGAGAAAGAATGTTCTATATTATGAATGAATTTATGTCTAGATGTACATATTCTGTAAAATTTGAAGATAAATCAAACAATAAAAATTGCATGGTCTAGCTACAACTTTGCTGACCACTAAATGATAACATGGGTAGTGTATTTTTTAGACTTGGTAAAAGTAATTATTGAGACAGATACATGCTGATCAATGGAAAGGGGTGACTTGAATGCTATAGATGCTCATTGCTCCACTACAGTAAAGGAGCTACAAAACTGCAATTTTCGCATTTTTACACTCAACAAGCACTGTCCAGTGCCAAAACATGTCTAGTGTGGTTTTGGAACATACCCATCAACTGCAAAATTACGAGTGGCAGCAGGAATAGCTAAGCGCATTCCATTGAGCTCAGGCTTTGCAATCACTTGACAACCCAGACGAGAACTGCAAAATCCAAAACATAGAAATTAACATAGATTCAAAGCCCACAAATCCTTTTAGTGTTTTGATGCTGACAGAACTCACGTTTCTGTAAGCCCAAAGGCCAAATCCAACATGTCATTCTCCTCATCAGTCGGGTCTTCTAGTTTGTTGTAGTGTTCCATGTCCTACCACCAGATTCAACATTCAGTCCCTCATAAGTTTGACATAAACATGGTGCTATCACATGAAACTATGTTTCAGTATCATACCATTACAATCACATGACATGTCGAACAGGCAAGTGAGCCTTCACATGCTCCTGGCATGGCATTAAAAGCACAGAATTAAAGAACTACTAAAATCACCAAAATGATCTACTCAATAGTTTTCTAGTGCAGAAATGGAAGGAGAGTACAGAAAACAAAAAAGCAGGACAAAAAAATAATAAAACATCTCACTACTGAAAGATGGCGTGGGTGGAATTTTCCATGCCTATATGTGCTACAATGCAACCATTAAAGAAACAGAAAAACAGGCAAGAAATAACTAAAAAATTGAATTATAATCCTTGCCTTCGAGCTCTATATCATTTTCATGAGCAGCTTCTAACATCGACATTCCAACTGGGACCTTGATATCATGTTCCTCCCCATCCTTGTCTACAAATGTTACAGATATCCTGCACATATATCACCAGATTGAGAGAATCAGCAGCAGATAGCTTTTGCAATTACTTACAGTCATACCCATCACTATTGTCAAACTGATCATTCTCTGTTTTTTCCCGTTAGCAATAATAAAAATAACCAGCTCAGTTGAACTTGTGCCTAATATTAGCTTTGGACACATTTAAGTATTGTTCAGTGAGCTATAGCTCAACTGGCACGAGTGTCGCCCCTTCCCCCAAAACATCTCCAGTTCGAACCTCTCCTTTACGTGTGTGTATGCGTTTGTGTATAAAATACTGTCAAAGCATGTAGGAACCCAAATCTCCTTCCAGAGTCATGTTGCTTGAAGACTAAGCATTTAAAATGTTTATCTTAACTAGATTCTAGGGCAGCAGTTCAGACGCTGAGATCTCCATGCACCGTTGTAATAGCAATGTACCTACTGTAACTGCATAAAGTCGCAAGTTCACAAGGAAACAAACATTACAACAGATTGGCTGGCAACTTGGTGTGACAAAATTCCAGTTGCACTTACAGTCTATCATAGCCCTCCAGCAAGGATGACTACTTAGCTTCTGCATATAGTTTTTCTTTGGAAATTTGAGTCTTATGTAATTGAGTATAGAATCCCCTCATCTATTTTATTAATTCTTCTAGGTCTATTGCAACTATATTATCTATCAAAAAAGGAGTGAAAGCTTAATCAGTTTCTTTCATTAGCTACAGCTATCAACCAGGAGTGTCATGCTTTGAGTATTTAATTAATGCAACTATATCATCAATCAAAAAAGGACTGCAAACTTAATGGTTTCTTTCATTACCTACAGCTATCAAGCATGAGTGTCATGCTTTGAGATAGGCATGGCATGTCAAGACACAGGAACTTCCACAAGATGGATACAGATACATGGCCAATTTCTCATATTAGTTTACACTTGTAACCATAATTCACGTGTTTGACCATAAATCTTTAACAACCATAAAACCATGTATCCTTGAAATGCTTCATGAATTAATTTCTAATAGAAGAAGTGTCCTAGAATTACTATTATAAGAGAAAGAGTCCTGATGAAACCAAAAAAAAAAAAAAAATGCTTTAAGAGAGGGCTATGAGTCTGCTATTGCTAAGCAAACTGAGAGTTAGTATATAGAAAATCACAAGAAATTGTCATCAAAAGTTCAACAGGGAGTGATAGGTCCAACATAAGCTTGCACAAATCTCTTTTTTTCTTATTTCTAATAAGTACAATAATGTAGGCATCTAACAGATCAATCGAACAATCTTCTAAGAATCATTTTCATGGTTTCTAGTTTTCCTCAGGATGTACAGAAGAATTTCTAATTGATATTACAGTTTATGATGGTTTCAGAATGTTTCATTGTTAACTTTGCTTCTTAAGAGTAAAAATAAGCTTTTCAGCATTCATCACAAATGCCACATTCTTGTAACAGCAATAAACAATTTCAATGCAAAAGTGCTTACATATCCTTTGGGTCACTGCCATCTGCAGAATCACTACTGGTAGCTGTGCTACAGAACTGATGATGCTTTTGAAATATAGTACCCTGGAACCCCTTAGTCTCTGGGTGTAATTCAACCTGCTCCAATATTAAGAATCAATGGGCATCTGGAAATACAAATAATAAGGCAACCAGAAGATCACTCCAATTAAAACTATAGGCCTTGGACTAACCTGAGGTCGCCAACATGCACAATAAGGCCTTTGTATAAATGATGTTCTACATAATGCTGTACATTGTCCTGCACAAAAAGGAAGTATTCATTCCTCAAAAAACAAAGAGAAAAAGGCAAATTGGAATATTAAACAAAACCGTAATTGAACTTGTGCAAACTGAGAAGGAGAAGTCTCTGGAGCTTGAACAGTACTGGAAGTGTGCTTGGTATCGGAAAAAGCTCCTATAACTCAGAGACTTGGCTTGGGACTGAATCCAATATACTGTTGGTAATGGTAAATTCATACATCTCGGGTGAGATTATATGCACACTACTGGTGTGCTAATGAAAGAAAATGGCTTCAGGGTTGTTTAGCAGTCAGGAATCAATTTGGATGCTGAGTTTGCGATGGTTATTAAAGATGCAGAATGGTTCTGGCCTCATGCCAGATTTGATGCTATGGTTACAATTCAAGGGACTATTTGTAACATGATTCATCCTTATCCCTTGAGTTATGATAGTGTTATTCAGAAGACTAGTCCTGATGGAGTTTCACTGCCAGAAGTGTTTGGGAACTTATTTGATTCAGAAAGTAAAAGTCAGTGATATAACCTTGTCTGGGGACCCTTCCATGTTCCCCCAGACATAGTTTCATGATTGGCTCAGTGTGGCTATCTACCAAGGTAAGGCAGATCAGGTTGGGAAGAAATATCTGTTGTGTGCTTTGTGGTGCTGATGAGGACTGTGACCATCTTCTCTATGACTGAACTTATTCTAAAGTTGTTTGACAGTCATTATGCAGAAATGTGGCTTTAACAGACCAGTTGGAAAGCGGATAATGGAACTTGATTGGTCTAAAGTTCGGAGAACTAGTTTTTTCAATATAATTCAGCTAGAATTGCTACTAATGCTGAAATTTATGGTATTTCAAAGCATAGGAATCAAAGAGTTCATGGAAATAGGGGCATTTCTCCTGATAAGCTGACTAACAGGATTTGCCAAGTTGTTTCTTATAGACTGCATGACACTAAATTGTTAGAAGAAACTGTTCTAAATACTAGCCTGTCTTCTATATGTAATCGGTGGAATTTTTCCTAGTTTATCATTCTTGTAATCAGTTTACTGATTCTTGCTTTTCTAGTGGGGTAAGCTCCTGCTTGTATTCCCTACCCCCTACCCCACCCTCCCCCCACCCCCCCCCCCCCCTTCCTTTCCCCTTTTTATCAATGAAACATCTCATTATATATATAATAAAAATACATGCATATGTCCTACAAAATAGCTGCAGCTTAAAGCAGAGAAAACCCAATGAAAATAAATGTGAGGGCATTACATACCTCTAGAGAGCTCTTTAAATATCCCAACTCCGATTCTTGAAAGTCTAGACCTTAACATAATTTCTCCTAAATACTTTCAAAAAAGAAAAGAAAGAATTAACCAAAATTTTATCAATGAGAAAACAGAGACAAGAACAAAAATTCAATGCCAAGCTAAGATGCGACTTCAATAACCCAAAAATAATGTATACAATGACAAATGATCCAAGGAATTGAATAAAACCCAAAAGCCAGTTCAAACAGATAAATTCTTGATGCAAACCTATGAAAGTCAGGGCAAAGAAGAACAGGCGATTGAATTAAGAAGAAAAAAGGAATTATAAAGGAAGATGCTTTATTACCTGTATGATGAAACTGAGAAAGAATACAGCAAAGGATGCAACAAAGCTTGTGTCTTTTTGTGTTCCCCGTTCAAATTCGGGTTCTCCTGGTTTTGGGCTGCGTATTCTCTAGAGGGTTTATGAGTACCATGCTTGGAATAAATAAAAACAAAAGGTTTAATTTCAATTCACCTCCCTGAAGTTTGGGACGAATCCATTTACTTTCCCTAAGGTTTTGATTGCATCAATATTTCCCCTGAGCTTTAAAATCGAATCAGCCAACAAATTTGTTCAGTCCCTAAACTTTTAAGCTTTGATCAAGTAAAATCTTTTACAAATAATTTTTATTTGACAAGATAAAATCTTCTAATTTCAATTAGAAGATTCAAATGATGTCTCATATATCATTTATGTAAAATATAAATACAAAAATCATAAAAAAAAGTGAATAGAATATATATTAAACTAAAAATTATATGTAAAAAGAAAATTTAAAATATAGAGTTTTTTTATTAAATAAATAAATAGTTTAGTTTTTTGTTGATGATTCAAACGTTGCATTACGTTTGAATGTCAACATTAGTTGATTTTATAAAATATATTATTATTTTATTAGTTGACAATTATACTCTTGTAGCATATTAATATTTAAAAGTTATTTATTCCTGGACATTAGATTTTTTTTAGTTTAAGGGTTTTAATATTTTGTATTTTTTTCCATCACTTTATTACTGATTACCAAACAACACCTTAATATAAATCATATTAAGAGGAAGATACATTTTAATATTGTGTCTTATATTTTTACATGTAAATGTTGCATGTGGTATTATTTGGATATTTTAATTGGAATATAAGATTTGATCTCATCAAATTATTTTAAAAATGATATATTTAATTAAATTTCAAAAGTTTAGCAACTAAAAGAACATTTTTATGTTCGTTTGGATAACCTAAATGGAAATATGGATACCTAATTGAAATTTTGGAGGGATATTGAAAGAATTTAAACCTCAGGGGGAGAAACTGGATTCACTCCAAACCTCAGGGGGTAAATTGAAAATTAACCCAAAACAAAATCCCAACCGACAAGTCGTTTACTTTGTCATGGGTTGGCCCAATTAGAGAGTAAATGGCAAATGTGGCGTCAAAGCTACAACCTTCTTAGATTTGAGGAAGGGCTTTGTAATCCACGTGCAATACCTCCGTGGAGAATCAGAATCCAAACAAAATATTTTTTCAATGGAGATTAGGTTCAAAGATGCTTGGATGACAGCCGGGCATAAACTATTTCTGGGCTTAGGCCAGCGAGGTTTTTCTTGGAGGAGAGAATCTGAGACACAACAAACCAATGAATGAATGAACAGTAGCTATAATCGGTCAACTCAAACATATGTGAGTTTTGTGGCAAAGGGTCCGCATCAAATCCTCAAAATCTTCCAATAAAAAAGGTAACTCTTTTTTTTTAACCTTTTCCGTCTCTCTTTCTCACATATTGTCAATTGGTCTGGAGATGTTTTGGATTCTGACATGACATTTCTTTCATTTGTGTTTTTGTTTTGCTAACAATGTAATGGTGAAGCAAAGTTTTGGGCTTTGCAGCAAGCAGGTTGGAGTCTTGGAAAGCAATTAATTTACTCTATATATGCAAAAATGCTGCAGAAAACAATTAGCATTGTCTTCTGCTTCTCCATTTCAAAATCCCGCAATTGGATAGGTCAAACTAGGGGACTGCAATCTGACATTCTTCTTTGGCTCTTGTTCTTTTTTTTTTTTTTTTTAAATGTAATGGTTTGATTTCTATGCCTGAGTTTTTCAGGTTATCATATATACTGGGGATACGAATACGACTACTTTTGTTTCAGGTTTCTGTTATGTAAAAAATTAAAGGAAGTGGTGCTAAATGTGTGCTTAATATGCTTTAATTGTGTGTTTAATTATCTTGTGGAACTTCATTTCCTTTTGAACACAGATTTTACATAAACTGCTAGATTCAAGATCCAAGTTCTAATATGTCTTTTTAATTATGACTGAAGACTTCATTAGTCACCATAATTGATGTTCTTATCTCTCATCAACACAGAAATATGATAGGTGAAGCATATGCTAAGCAAATTACTGTTTGTTGTGGCAGGAACCACAGGTTGTCATTATTGATTTTTAGTGACTGAACCATTTAAGACTAACTTGGAATTGCTGCATCAGATTGGGAAGGTATGGATTCCTCTCCTCATTCTTCATTGACTGGAAAAGTAAAACAGAGACCGTGGTGGATGAAAAGCCTCACCGGGTGGTCTTATGTAGTCTATGAGATGTTATTCCAAAAGTTGCAAGCAAGGCACCTGAAAAATGTATTGCCGTTACCTCCCCTCCATGATGTTACATGCATTGTAACTGGATCCACGAGTGGCATTGGACTTGAAACAGCCAGGCAATTGGCTGTTTCTGGGGCACATGTCATTATGGCTGTACGAAACCAATCTGCAGCCTTTGATTTGATCAAGAAGTGGCAGACTGAACAGCATGGAACAAGACTGCTCAGTGTTGAGGTGATGGAGCTGAATCTTCTCTCCCTCCCCTCAGTTGTGAAATTTGCTAAGGTGTGGAATTCACACTCAAAACCTTTGCAAGTTCTTATCAATAATGCTGGAATCTTTTCTATGGGAGAGCCACAGAAGTTCTCAAAAGATGGGTACGAAACACACCTGCAAGTAAATTTTTTGGCTCCTGCATTGCTTTCTATAATGCTTTTGCCATCTCTCAGTAAGGGCTCTCCCAGCCGAATTATTAACGTAAACTCCATTATGCATTATATGGGCTTTGTCGACCCAGATGACATGAATTTTACTTTGGGGAAAGAGAAATTCAATAGCACAAAGGCATATTCAAGTAGTAAGCTTGCGCAGGTCATGTTCAACAGTGTCTTACAGAAATGCCTGCCTCCTGAAGCTGGCATTAGTGTGTTATGTGTGTCTCCTGGAACTGTTCACACAAATGTAACGAGGGACCTTCCAAAATTGGTGCAAGTTGCGTATAACTTGATACCTGTATTTCTCTTCAGTGCCCAAGAAGGTTCAAGAAGTGCACTTTATGCAGCCACTGATCCTGAAATTGCTGTGTACTGTAAGGCATTGAAGGCTGATGACTGGCCAACTTGTGCTTATATCTCACATGCTTGTCGTCCCACACGTGCTGCCGAAGAAGCACATAACACAAGAGCTGCTAATGAAGTGTGGGAAAAGACATTGGATATGATTGGCCTTCCTCTTGATGCTGTAGAGAAGTTGCTGCAAGGGGAAGAAGTCATGTGCAAGTACCAGGATAGCTGAAGTAAGTATCTAGCGTGAACTGATTTGACAGAAACCTGCCATCAATTTGTTGAGGATATCTTAGCTAAGCAGAGTTAGTATCTCTTGCACATATTCCCATTTTTGGCTATTCTCTTCAATTCAAATTAATTACAAAGGTCATTTTTGTTGGTTAAGTCTGAAAATTTGTAGTGAGACACCTAAAGAGTGCAGCCAGTGGATATGAATGCATATTCATTTCCTTTGATAATTTTGATCACACACGAGAATGATGTATCGCAACATCAAGCAATGTATCCAAGACAAAATCCCACCAAAGAATGCCATGGGCTTTCTCAAGGTGAATCTTCATTGCCATCCATCTTTTCTTGTTCATCGAGTGGATAATTTCCTAATCTATAATAATATTATCCGCAATCTTCCAACCCGGGACAAATCTTACCTAAGCAGGTGCAATGACTGAAGGAAAAATAGGCTTTAGTCTGTTGATGTTAACTTTCGTGAGGACTGTGTAGGAGACATTACATAAGCCAATGGGACGGAACTGATTAACCATCTTTGAAATATCTACTTTTGGAATTAGAACAGCTTTCGTTTGAGCAGGATCTCAAATGTCATGCCTAACGATTTGTTGAATAAACCTGCATAGGGACTTTCTCACTGTGTTCCATTGCGTCTGATAGAAGACTGCATGAATTCCATCCACCCCTAAAGCCTTACATGGTTGCATACCAAAAAGGGCCTCCCTAACTTCTGAATCCGAAACAGGCTCATACAGAGATTGTGAGAAAGTAGACGGAATGCATGGGAAAACACCATTAGACAAGGGTTCCTTTACGGCATCCTCTTCTTCTGTAACCAGCTCCTTGTAGAACTTGAAAATAAAGCACACATTTGATTATTGGGAATGTACCAAATACCATTTTCATCCCGCAATCTGTCAATCCTTGACAACCTCCTCTTTATCACAGTCATGGCGTGATAATATTTCGTATCACAATCATCATGGCCCATCCACTCACATCTTGCATTTTGCAACAAATATAGTTCTTCACGTAGGAGGATACTCCTTCCTAAGCTGCTGTTCCAAATTAACTAGGAAAGGATTTGATTGTTGGTGTGAAACCAGTTCTATTCCCATCAAACGTGCAATGATAGTCTTTCAATTCTGAAAACATTCCCAAAAAACTCAATGTTCCACCTTTTGACAGCATCAACAAAATCCTCCTTAGCTGCAGAAAAAGGAGCAGTAGGGTAAGGTTCCAAGTTTTTTTGACAAAATCCCCAAAGTCTGGACTCATCAACCATGCATGCAGCTTGGAATCTGAAATTTTTGTGATTATGGGTCGGCACAATACTGTTATTCAGCTGCAGCAGAAGAGGTCTTTGGTTAGACTTAATCCGTGGAAGGTGGCGCACCACTGCATTAGCAAATTTAATTGCCAATCAGGCTGTGTTTGTTTGAGAAAAAATAAATTTCAGAAACTTATTTTCTCTATTTTCCGGTGTTTGTTTCGTATCTAGAAAAAAAGTCAACAGAAAATGATTTCTAATCAAGGGAAAATGATAGAGCATTTTTGAGAAAATGTTTTCCCAGTTTTAAAAGAGGAAAATATTTTTTTTTCACGAACTCGTCTCGCTCTTACTTTACTTACCTCTCTTTCATTATATTTTAACAATTTTTTTCTCTATCTTCTTTTTATTTAAAATATATCAAATTAATTTTTAATTATTCCTTATCAATTATTATTAATTATTTAATTATTTTTTCTCTATTTTTATTGATATTTGATTTATAGAGACATTAAATATTCTTAAAAACCATTTTTGCACTTTAAAATTATTTTTATAATTAATATTTCAATAATTTATCTCTATTTTTTTTACTATTATCTCAAACACCACCTAAATTATACTTAAATGATTGAAAATAATTATTACAATACTATAATTTTTTGTAAAAAATAAAATAAAATTAATTAATTCATCAATAAATATATTATTTTTTTCAACACTATTCATTTGCAATTAAATCAATAATTTATAATTTTAATCAATTGTAAAATTTTGTTGGTAATTGTAGTGAATAATTAGTTACAAATTATTCAAACGTTAATCTTTTGAGACCAAATGAATAATTATATATAAATGATAACTAATTGTTTATAAAACTATTTTTCAGAATAAATTATCAGTTCAATTTTTGAAATTTTTTTTTTAATTGAGTTATCAAAATAAAAATGCTATGATTACTTAAAATCTTTTTTTACTAAATGTGAATATTGACTTAATTTTGTCCCAAGTAATTTTGATGAATTGGTTTGATAGTTAAAAAAATACATTTTATTTTTTGAATTAAAATTTTAGAGTTAGTATTTATGAAAATTTATTAAATTTTTCTAAATGGATCTTATATTGTGAAATTAAGAATATGTCTTTTTGAAGTTTTCTCAAAACTTGTTAATATAACAATTACATATATCTTTGAATTTTAATTTTCTGTATCAAACAAACGCTAAAATATGTTTTCTAACAATTTTTTCATATAATTGCCAAACGACAAAAAATATATTTTTGAAAAATAATATTTTATCAAAAATTATTTTTCCTATGTAACTTGCTTTTCCCCATGCAAAACAAAACAGAGCTTCCGTGTTGCAAACAAACCGATCAATACATTCTTGTACAGCCCCTCGCTGCCATGTATACATAGGACCTGTGAATCCTAAATCGAACAGCCCACAATCATTCATGCCAGAAAGAAATGCATAGCTATTTTACATGTTGAAGCCTCTCCCCTTTCTTCTCTAATCGAGACAACATTGCATTAAAATCCCCACCTACCTGCCACGGTTCAGATATTTAATTGGCAAGTGTCTGTAGGTCTTTCCAAAGTCTGGTTCGAATACGACCCTTGGGGTGCCGAAAGTAGGAAATGCATGTCATCACATGCAGTGTACCTTCATATGCATAAATTGGTTGTTGTTGATGAGGACTTCAACCGAAACCTACATATCATTCCACAAGATCCAAATACGTTTGGAGAACCCCATGAGCTTCAATTCAGTGTGAGCAGGAGAACCCCAGCCGTTTGACCACTGAGTTTACCTGTGCACCACTGATTCTAGGTTCAAAAATAGCTAAGATCTGTGGTTTATGCCTCCTAATTAAATCACAACACGCAGCTTTGAACAATTTATGCCAAGCTCCTCGACAGTTCCAAAATATCGTATTCATTGGAGATAATAAAAGGGAAGGCTGGAACAAGTTACACCTGTGGAAGGTTGGGACTGGTAGCCTCGGTCCTTCTATCCAGTTCTGTACCAATGGAGTCATAGAACATATATACCATCTTCCTTAAAAGTCACCAACACAGCCTGCTTTAGTTTGGCATTCTTATTGTGGGTAGAATGAGAAACTTTATAGTTTGCTTTTCGTATAGGGATTGAAGCTAGTTTTGGCCAATTCTTTCTTCTTGATCCTCTTAAACAAGGCCAGTAAGTCAGGTGGTTCATTTATGGTGATTGGGACGATATTGCCCTTTACTGGCTTCAAAACCCCGATGTCTACTGTGGTGTCGGCAGCTTCAATGGAGTCACCAAACTCAGAAATCTAGTCTGCCTCTGGCAATTCAAGTGTTTGCACGTCATTCATGGCATCAGTAATTATAATTGTAGTATGTCTTTTTTTTCTACTGGTATTTCTCCCTCTGTCTGTGTTTTAGTCGTCATAATACTAGCGTCACCCTTCTGGCCAACATCCTTTCTGCCAGTGGAAACCTGGTTGCGGCTGCTGTTAGCTTTAGAAACCTTGCTTGTGGACTGGATCATAGCAGTTGGGTGTAGATAATCTGTGCGGGTTGAGAACTGAACTAAAAATTAATAATTTTCCATGTGGATTACTCTAAACGGCTTAGCTGCATTCCAAATGGTTTTAAATCGGATGCATAAAGCTTTGTAACCCACGCTCCGACCTAGAACCTTGACCATCACGGAAAGCTCCTATGGTTTCTTGAGGCATTCCTTGAAGGATTCAATAGTGCAATAGACCAGCCATGGTAATTTTCCTCTCAAGTCTTATGTCTCCTTCATCAACCACAATGCTAGCAAGTGATTGCCATTCAAAGGATTGTGATGGTTCTCCCGTTTCCATCGGTCACTGCATTCTTGAAATTCAATCTACATTCTGGAGATGGAAGATCCGAAGGGGATTCTTGATTCGTGTCTTTGTCTATAAGTCGAATCTTTTTGGTGCTCTGATCTGGATCGGAGGTATCAGATTTTCAGACACTCCAGTGGGGAGAGAAATAGGGGGGCTAGTTGATAGTATGTTCTTTAGCAATGCTCTAAGAAGTAAAAACCTCCATTTTAAGATACCGTTATTTTGCTAACTCAGCAAAGGAACTTCTGTTGTTCTGCGCCTGTGTCCATCAGCACTACGAATCATAGTTATGGCAGCCAAATTGACCAGGGTTTACGGTTGTTTGGTATATTGCTTCAACTGGTATATATTGTTTATACTTTATATACTATTGTGACTTTTTGTTGCATATTAGACTGACAGACCCGAGGAAGTTTTTTTAAAAAATGATTTCTTGTGAATATATCAATTGAATATGGATTGCGTTCTTAGATTTGAGGAAGGGCTTTGTAACCCACGTGCAATATCTCCGTGGAGAACCAGAATCCAAAAGAAAATATTTTTTTAATGGAGATTAGGTTCGAAGATGCTTGAATGACTGACGCGCGGGCATAAGCTATTTCTGGGCTTAGGCCATCGAGGTTTTTCTTGGGGAAGAGAATCTTAAACACAACCAAGCAATGAATGAATAAACATTAGCTATTATCGGTCAACTCAAACATATGTGAGTTTTGTGGCAAGGGGTCTGCAACAAATTCTCAAAAACTTCCAATAAAAAAGGTAACCTTCCGTCTCTCTTTCTCACATATTGTCAATTGGTCTGGAGATGTTTTGGATTCTGTCATGCCATTTCTTTTATTTGTGTTTTTGTTTTGCTAACAATGTAATGGTGAAGCAAAGTTCTGGGCTTTGCAGCAGGCAAGTTCCAGTCTTGGAAAGCAATTGATTTACTCTATATATATGCAAAAATGCTGCAGAAAAGAATTAGCATTGTCTTCTGCTTCTCCATTTCAAAACCCGTAATTGGATAGGTCAAACTAGGGGACTGCAATCTAACATTCTTCTTCGGCTCTTGTTCTTTTTTTCTTTTTTCAATGTCATGGTTTGATTTCTATGCCTGAGTTTCTCTTGTTATCAGATAGACTGGGGATATGAATACGACTACTATTGTTTTAAGATGCTGTTATGGAAAAAAGGAAAGGAAGTTCTGCTATATGTGTACTTAATATGCTTCAATTGTGTGTTTAATTATCTTGTGGAACTTCAGTTCCTTTTGAACACAGATTTTACATAACCTGCAAGATCCAAGTTCTAAAGATATGTCTTGTTAATTATGACTTGGGAGTCCATAATATTGGTCACCACAATTGATATTTTTATCTCTCATCATCACAGAACTCTGATATGTGAAGCATATGCTAGCCAAATTACTGTTTTTTGTAGCAGGAATGACAGTTTCTCATTATCGATTTTTAGTGACTGAATCATTTAAGAACTAAAACTACTTGGAATTGCTGCATCAGATTGGGAAGGTATGGATTCCTCTCCTCATTCTTCTTTGACTGGAAAAGTAAAACAGAGACCGTGGTGGATGAAAAGCCTCACTGGGTGGTCTTATGTAGTCTATGAGATGTTATTCCAAAAGTTGCAAGCAAGGCACCTGAGAAATCCATTGCCTTTACCTCCCCTCCATGATGTTACATGCATCGTAACTGGATCCACGAGTGGCATTGGACTTGAAACAGCCAGGCAATTGGCTGTTTCTGGGGCACATGTCATTATGGCTGTACGAAACCAATCTGCAGCCTTTGATTTGATCAAGAAATGGCAGACTGAACGGCATGGAACAAGACTGCTCGGTGTTGAGGTGATGGAGCTGAATCTTCTCTCCCTCGCCTCAGTTGTGAAATTTGCTAAGGTGTGGAATTCACGCTCAAAACCTTTGCAAGTTCTTATCAATAATGCTGGAATCTTTTCTATGGGAGAGCCGCAGAAGTTCTCGAAAGATGGGTACGAAACACACCAACAAGTAAATTTTTTGGCTCCTGCATTGCTTTCCATAATGCTTTTGCCATCTCTCAGTAAGGGCTCTCCCAGCCGAATTGTTAACGTAAGCTCCATCATGCATTATATGGGCTTTATCGACCCAGATGACATGAATTTTACTCTGGGGAAAAAGAAATTCAGCAGTACAAAGGCATATTCAAGTAGTAAGCTTGCACTGGTCATGTTCAACAGTGTCTTACAGAAATGCCTGCCTCTTGAAGCTGGCATTAGTGTGTTATTTGTGTCTCCTGGAATTGTTCACACAAATGTAACAAGGGACCTTCCAAAATTGGTGCAGGTTGCGTATAACTTGATACCGATATTTGTCTTTAGTGCCCAAGAAGGTTCAAGAAGTGCACTTTATGCAGCTACTGATCCTGAAATTCCTGAGTACTGTAAGGCATTGAAGGCTGATGACTGGCCAACTTGTGCTTATATCTCATATGATTGTCGTCCCACACGTGCTGCCGAAGAAGCACATAACACAAGAGCTGCTAATGAAATGTGGGAAAAGACACTGGATATGATTGGCCTTCCTCTTGATGCTGTGGAGAAGTTGCTGCAAGGGGAAGAAGTCATTTGCAAATACAAGGATAGCTGAAGTAAGTTTCTACTCCACTTTTTACCTGAAGTGATTTGGCAGAACCTGCCATCAATTTGTTGAGGATATCTTAGCAATGCAGAGTTAGCATCTCTTGCACATATTTCCATTTTTGGCTATTCTCTTCGATTCAAATTAATTATAAAGGTTATTTTGTTGGTTAAGTCTGAAAATTTGTAGTGAGACACTTAAAGAGCGTAGCCAGTGGATATCAATGCATGTTCATTTCCTTTGATAATTTCTATTTCCTTCATAGATAAAAAGGGAATAGGAAGACGCAATGGCTGAAATATAAACACGGACTTGCTAAGTGTAACTTCTAGATGTGCATTCTAATGTTTTGCCATTTATGCAGTCTCCATTGATTCTGGAATCTCTTTGGAGCCTTTTTTTTCCCTTTTTTTTTTTTTTTTTTACGTTATTTTAGGAACTTAGATAATATTGCTAGGAAAGTCATATTTTATTTTTAACTCTTCATTTGTTTATACATGATTGTACCCAGAGGTCTCTGGTCTATTATTAGGCTTGTATTTGACTTATAGCTGGTTGAAGCTTCAACAAATCAATGTTTTTTTAAGTCCTAACTGACAGTATTGTGGTTTATCTTGCTGAAATATCAAGCTTATTAAGAATAAAATCAAAATAGAATTTGTCATATGGATGAAATACTTTTAACACATACAAGAAATTAACAGGTCACGTAATTAATTGGAACTTCAATGCAATTAAAGGAATAAGGTCGATCTTTGAATACTATTGAAGTATTGTTGAACTTTTAGCAAATTTTTCTTGGCGAATTGTCGAGTAGAAATTTGCTTTTGGACTGATTTTCTAATCTCTTTCGTTTTGGCACAGATTTTCTCGTCAAATTGAACTCATTTCCTATTCTTTTTAACCAGTCTTTGGTGTAATGAGAGGAAACAGCTTGTTTTATTCTTCTCTTATATTGCACTATATGGTTGATCGTTCTACATTGCAGAAAAAATGTTATGCTATAGATAAAGTCATTTAAAAAAAATCATTATGATTTGGTCTTCGTCACACTATAGATCTGTTAAAATAAATTAAAAGCAAAAGCAAAAAAATATTCACCTAATTTTATAATTTTTTAATCAAAATTGTGTATTTAATTAATTATTTTTTATTTTTTTAAATCTAAAACGCAAGTTTTAATTTATCAAAAATATTAAAAAATATATATATTTAATTTTTTATTTATAATATTGATGAGATAAGATTAATTTTTAAAGGTGTGTGTGTATATATATAGATTCTCAAAATAATAAATAATATTAAGTGTTTTGTGTATATGTACATTCAATTTGTGATTTTAAAAATTTACAAAATTAATTTTGATATTTAATTATTTATAAATAATATAATAGCAATTTTATTAAACTTTTATTGCTCAAACATTTGGTTTAGTGAATTGCATATAGCACAAATAAATAAATAAAAATACAAAATCAATACAACCGCATATAGATTTTAACTGCTATTCAAAAAAAAAAAAAAACTTATTAAAAAACAAATACAATCATCAAATAAGTAATTTTTCTGAATAAAAACATAAAAATATCTATGCTCTCAACAACTTTATGTATCAAAATGAAATCATCATATTATATTCATAAAATCATTTTACATGAATCTTTAATAAGTAAACAATTGCGTTAAGTGTTTTACCTTTATTGTAATCGCTTTTAAACTTGATTATTATTTATAGGTATTGCCTACTCTTGTAATTCTTGAGACCATGTATATATAAGCTATACCTAGTTTTTTATACTTAATACCATTTTTTTTAATTCACTTTTTTGATATAGGCAATCGAGATGATACTTATCATAAAAAAAAAATCACCTACAAACTATGATGAATGAGGTCTTTGAATTTAAAAATAAATTATAAATTAGTCTCTTTGGTTTTTAGAATTAATTGATTAGTCCTTTTGGTTTTAAGAAATAATTATTCAATCCTTTTAACCAATATTGATCATGATTAATTTTTTTATTTTTTATTTTATAAAATATCCTCTTTTTTCATAAATATTTACTTATTTTTTATTTTTTCTATTTCTTTAAAAATCAAAATAAGTTAAAAAATATTAAAATATTAGTTTTTTGAAATCAAAATAATTAATTAATTCGAAACAAGATGGACTAATTTATAATTTACTCTTAAATACGAAGTGGAGGAAAAAGAAACAATTAAAGACATGAGTATTGAATGGTCTGTACGAAGAGAAAAGGGTTGGATAAAAATGTTAAAAGAGAATCAGTCATAGGCCCACAAATCCACTTACTCGCAATTACAAAAGTAAAAGAAAATAATATTTATAACGCAAAGGAAAAAAAAAACCAGGTTAGTATACAGTAAAATGAAAGTGGATAATCAGTTTACTGTAGTGTCGTTTGTAACTATAGTCTATTTCTTGTACCTAAACTATCAATTAATGAAGTTGTTTCCTCTCTTTCCATTTAAAGGCTGGTTTTAAAGAGGGCAGAATATGCAGGTTAGCAGAATATTTATGTCATTCTGTTTATGCTTAGTTATTGAGAGTAGCAAGCATTCTCTATCCTCGAGTTAGATTGAAGAAAAAGAATCCCCCTAGCTAAGCAATAATGACAAAAACATAATGAATGTATCCCTGAGTACTGTCGTCATATTATTGGCTTGTAATTTTGCCCCACTAGATAAGAATTGGATCGTACATGATTCATAATCTCCTATGAAAATTTCGTTTAATGTCATGATCGTAAGAATTGGTGTGTTTGAACTTTATTTTATTTGTCTTCAATATCCCATGTTTTCTACCTTGTCTTTTCATTGGCTCCTGGCATGGTTTAGAGCAGTACTTTCTCTCTACGTGTGAGTTGATCACCTGGTGCCTGGTGGCGTGTCATCAAGAGATTATCCTTCAAACGTCATTTCTTGCGCTTTTTGACATCGAGGACATTTTCATGTTCAGCTAGATTGGACTCCTCAATCAACCATTTCCGTGATGTAATGCAATCCTACTATCGTGGTACGCTATTATTTGGCTATCCATCTAGAAAAGGAAAGGGCTAATAATTGCTGTCTGGTGATTGAATCCCTGCACTCAACTACGCGTTGGAAGTCTCTGGTTTGTGGACCTAATTCTTTTCGTCATCATATGATTTGTATCAACCATTTCCATGATGTAATGCAACCCTACTATCGTGGTACGCTGTTATTTGGTTATCGGTTATCCATCTAGAAAAGAAAAGTAGAAAGAATTGCTAGTCTGTTGATTGAATCCCTTACACTCAACTCCACTTTGGAAGTCTCTGGTTTGTGGTCCTAAGTCTTTTCTTCGTATGGTTTGTTTCTTTCTTCGGTAAATTCTGGATTGCCCTACATTGAAGTAAATTACAGTCAAATAGTCAATCTCTTATTCTTTATAAGGTAACGTTGGATCACAGTACAAATATTAAACTGTCATAGTTCGTTTTAAACTATAAATGGTAGGTCTTTTTTTACCTAAACTTATCAAGTTACATTCTCAAATTTCTGATGGCTTGACTTATCTAGACTAACGTTCAATTGCCTGGACAAGATGGTTCGCGGTCTATCCAAAATTCCTAAAAGGACAAAAATTAGTAGCATGGTCCACATTACATCCATGCGTCCAAACTTCTATTGGCCAACCATTTTTTTTATTTTTAAGTAGATTCCCTAATCTTTCCCTGTTTTCTGGACCCCATGAACCATGTCCTCCAATGGGCACTTGACAAAACTTACTTCTTTCTAGCCCTTCTATGCCTCGTTGCCTTCCCATTCTTCACCAATCTTTTCCACCATTTCCTCCCATGTTACTCCCATCCTGTAATCCCCCGAATCTTCGGCAACCTGCCGAACTTCTGTCCACAATCTTATTTCTCCTGATTAATCCTAGAGCAAAATTTTTCAATATGGAATTTGTTTTTTTTTCTTTTGGAATGATTTTTCAATAAGGATCTGGGAAAATCTCCTTGCTTCTTTTAATTCCTATAACCATCTCTTCTCTCTTTTTTCTTGAATTCTCTAGTATCATAGACCACAACTTTTTTTTCCCCTTTGGAAATACCTGCATATGATGGAAATAGAGCAAGTGGGACCTCAAGATTGCCATATGAATGGTGGTGTAAGAAAAATTCTCTTGGGAAAGTACGAGATGGGGAGGTTGTTAGGACAAGGAAAGTTTGCTAAGGTCTACAGAGGAAAGAATGTTGTGACCCAAGAAGATGTTGCAATCAAAGTGATGCACAAGGAACAAGTGAAGAAGACAGGATTAATGGAGCAGATAAAGAGAGAAGTCTCAGTTATGCATCTTGTGAAGCATCCAAATATAGTGGAGTTGAAAGAAGTGATGGCTACCAAATCAAAGGTTTTCTTTGTAATGGAATATGTGAAAGGAGGCGAGTTGTTTGCCAAAATCAAGAAGGGAGGGCTAAAGGAAGATCTTGCAAGAAAATATTTCCGACAATTGATTTTTGCAGTTGATTATTGTCACAGTCGTGGCGTTTCTCATCGCGATTTAAAGCCTGAAAACTTGCTTTTAGATGATAAGGAAGATTTGAAAGTGTCCGATTTCGGGTTTTCTGCTTTGCCTGAGCAGAACTGGAATGATGGCTTGCTACACACACAGTGTGGCACCCCTGCATATGTGGCTCCAGAGGTTCTAAGAAAGAAAGGTTATGATGGTGCTAAAGCTGATATTTGGTCTTGTGGGGTTATTCTTTTCGTTCTGCTCTCAGGATACTTGCCATTTCGCAATGAGAACGCAATGAAGCTGTATGTGAAGATTTTAAAGGCTGAATATGAGTTCCCACCTTGGATTTCAAAGGATGCTAGGAGGTTAATCTCCTCGCTGCTTGTTGTGGACCCTGAGAAGAGAATCACAATCCCTGAGATAATGAGAAATACTTGGTTTCGAGAAGGTCTTACTCAATCTATTCCATCTGCTAGTGATTTAGAAGATACTGAAAACGGTGTTAAAAGTGGAGATCAAGATGAATTGTTAGGGAATATAGGCTTAAAGCATTCACCGCCATTTTATAATGCTTTTGACTTCATATCTTCAATGTCATCAGGATTTGATTTATCTAGTTTGTTTGAGACCAAGAGAAGAAGGGCTTCAATGTTCACTTCAAAATCTCCAGCTTCAACCATCCTAGCAACATTGAAATCCGTGGCAAAGAAGTTGAACTTTAGAGTGGCTGTGAGTGAGACAGAATTTAAGGTAAAAATGCTAGGAAAAGAGGAGGGACGGAAAGGGAAACTGGCAGTGACGGCAGAAGTGTTTGAGGTGGCATCCGAGTTGGTGGTGGTCGAGTTCTCGAAATGCTCCGGTGACACTCTAGAGTACACCAAATTCTGTGAAGAAGATGTTAGGCCTGCTCTAAAAGATATAGTTTGGAGTTGGCAAGGTGAAAATGTTGATTGTCTTGAAGACCAAATAGGAACAAGTAATTAGGTTGGTTAATCGTTGTTAATTGACTAAAATCCTCAAAATTAGAACTCTTAAGGCTTGCTAGTTTGTACATGTTTGCCTCTAGGCTTTATGATGCAGTGTTGTGTAATATTACTAGTGCAAATATTATCGCTATGAAATTTTGGTAAACAAGGGATTAGTAAAGAGGAATGAGCTAGGATTTCCTCATTCTTGAGACATGGTGTGCTTCTTGATTTCCTCCTTGTTTAGCTGTTTTCAATGTCCATCTTTTGTGGTGAATTTTGCTCTGGACAAATGAATGGACCTCTTGATGGGTTGTTGCATGGGGAGCCCTAACATGAAGCTTATTTTGTATGGGAGAGAATAAAGTGCGGTTCGTTGTTTTAGCTTTTACGCATGGACGTAAAAGAAAGGCTCACAAGGACGTGGAAGAGTGTATATGGTTTGAAGTTTGTGAAAATTTGTACTCTCTCTTGGCCACAATGATATCTCCCTTGTGCGGTTATAATGGATTTCGCAAAAGGGTGTGTAGCTTAGGTTCTAAACTTGAAAAAGAACTGCCCTTTATAACATGTTATTTTGCTAATGCCCACAATCCTAATATTCTTTACACCAAAGCCCAAGAGAGAATTACTTACAGCTATAGCTATAGGGCTTTTTCTAACACATATAAAGTCTAAAGTTAAATTTTCATAATTAACCTTAAAAAGTTATTTCAGCTTAGTCCAATGGACCTGTCTCATTCCGAAAGATGGGCCAGAAAGGATAACCCAATACCTAGTGCGTAATGATTGGACAACTTTCTCTCTTTCACACGAAATAGAATTGCCTTCAAGAAAAGAGTTTCATATTTGTACTTAGAACCTAAAACCTCCATTTTAAGATACTGTTATTTTGCTAACTCAGCTGAGGAACTTCTGTTGTGCTGTGCCTGTGTCAATTAGCACTTCTTATCATAGTTATCGCAGCCACGGCCTCGGGTTGTTGGTATATTGGTTCAAATGGTATATATTGTTTATATACTATAGTGAGTTTTTGTTGCATATTTTAGACTGAAAGACCCGAGGAAGTTTTCAAAAAATGATTTCTTATAAATATATCAATTGAATTTGGATTGCCTGATGCCTGCATGTAAGTCTTTTTCAAAAATATACTTGTTGATGCCAACCAAAAAAAAAAAAAAATTAATAAATCAATTTCAGATATTATTTTGATTGATACCGTAGTGAAATAAATGTGTTTAAAAAAACAAAACCAAAGAGCTAGTTGACTAATTCAGCTAGATTTTCTCCGATTCTTTATTTCAAGTAGTTGGATTCAAAAACCAAATTAGCTCATATCTGGTTTGTAACAATTTGTTTGTCCGTTGGGTTCGGTTCTATTAGAGCCCATGTTATGTGCATTTAAAAAAAAAAAAACAAAAAAACTGAAGTGCTGTTTAGTAATAAAAAATAAAGAGATAGAAATAGAAATGAAAGTTTTATTCTCACGTTGTAATTGTCCGATTAAAAAAAATAAAGTGGGAATGAGAATGAAGATTGAGGATGAGAATGAAAATTCACACACAACTTCATTTCCATATAAGATATGAGAATAAAAATAAGGAATGAGAATGAATTTTTTTTTCAAAATAATAATATATTTTATTTATTTATTGTTTATTAATTACTTTTACCACCACCGTAACCATTACCATTACCACCGGTGCCATAACCACTACCACTATCATCATCTTTATTATTTTTACAACTATTATAGTTTGATAAAATTATTTTTTTAATTTTTATTTGTATAAAAAATCATATATTAAAAAATTTAAATTGCATTATAGTTCTTCATTAGTATTCTAAACATCGTGTGGAAATACAAATGTTATTCGATTCCTTAATTTTTATTATGATTCCCGTATTCCCATTTCGGACACTTCATTCTTGATAATCAAACAACACCTAAAAAATTTGAGGTAAATGAATAGTAAATCACATTCTTTTGTCTCAAATCACGGTTTATTTAATGTTCATAGGTGGTAGTTTTGGTAATTTTTCATGATGGCATTTTCATGATTTTTTTATATATAGTTTTAGGCATATTTGTGCAAATTTTATACTTTATTCTCTTACGGTCTCTTATTTTTATAAAAGATATTTTTGGTCTATCATGTTTATAAAGATATTTTGACACCTCATGTTTTTATTTTATTTCATTTTTTTAGAATATATTTTTGGTCCCTCATGATTTTAAAATATGTTTTTGGCTCCTTATGTTTTTAGCTTTAGAATAAACATATATTTCGGATTATATTATTTTTATTAATTAAAATCGATCTCTTCAATTTTTCATTTTTATGAAAATTCTCATCCAATTTTTTTTTTATGTAATTTTATTTGTTAATAAATATAATTTACTTTTCTCTATGGATAGATTTTCAAATATATTTTTTAAAATAATTAATTAAGTAAGTAATAAAATTCAAAAATTTTTGGCTTATTCTTGATATAATAAAAAAAATTAAATAAATATTTTAGTTATTTTTATTGCACTATATTAATAAAAAAATATTATTTGATTTATATTACATACTTTGACCCATTAACTATGATCATGACGTATAAAAAAAACATTGAGATCATTAATTTTATTGAAAATTAATTATTCATCTACACACATAACATAAACCATTTGCTATTAATTATTTTTAATATTCTAAAATTAATTTATTTCAAATAAAATAATTAAAATAAAGTTTTAGAAGAACCACTTAATCATTCAAATGCATCTTTTTTATACTAATATTATTATTGATTGTTATGCATATATATATATATATATATATATATATATATCAAAAATACATATTTTCAAAAAGTTAAAAAAGATTCGTTAGTTAATTTTTATACAAGTTTTTATATTGATTGTTGCTTTACTTCTTCGATGCAATTTTATGAAGAAAAAAATAGTAAGATTTTTTTAAAAAAAGTATTGCATTATTTATTTATATTATTACAGATTTTTATTTAAGAATAAATGCATAACAAAAAAATAAATTGTTATTTTAATAACAAAATCTATTAAAAAAATATAAAGAAGAATGAATGAAATGTAAATTTTGATTAAAAAATATAAAATTAGATGCAATTTTATTATTTATATTTAATTTAATATATTTTGATTGATCGAAAATATATTTACAAAAGGATACTTTTTAACAAAAGACACATATTTAGTTCTACTTGCTTTGTAGCACGATAAAGCAACCAGTAATTTCCAAATGGGTTAGGTTCTAATTTCTTTTTTAACAATTTGCATGTCTATTATAGACATTTTGGGAATGTAGGCTTGTGGGTATAGGTCTTTCTATTTAATGGTATAAAAAGTTGCACCATCCATTCTTGAACGTTTCCTTTTAATAACAGTGTTAATAGTGACTAAGGTATGTAAATAATTTTAAAATAGATAAGGTTTTAATTTATTCCTAAATAAGTTGCCTCTTTATTATAAACTTTCTAAAAATATAGGTATGTAGGTATAGATATTTCTATTTAATGGTACAAAAATTTGGACCACCCATTTGTAAATGTTTCCTTCTAATAATACTGCTATTAGTGATTAAGGCATATGAAGAATTTTCAATTCGATAAGGTTCTGATTTCTCCCTTAACAAATTGTATTCTTAACTGTTATTTTTTAATAACACTGCTACTAGTGACTAAGGTATGCGAGTAACTTTCAAATGGATAGGTTCTAATTTCTTCCTAAATAAGTTGTCTGTTTATTATAGACATTGTGGGAATATAGGTCTGTCGGTATCGGGTTTTGTGTTTAATAGTATAAAAATTTGGACAATCATTATTGAATGTTCTCTTCTAATAATACTCCTACTAGTGATTAAGGTATGTGAATAATTTCTAAATGGATGGGGTTTTAATTTCTCCCTTAACAAGTTGTCTTCTTGAATGTTTTCTTCTAATAACATTGCTACTAGTGACTAAAGTGTGCGAATGATTTCTAAATAGGTAGGGTTTTAATTTCTCTCTCGATAAGTTGTCTATTTAGTATAGACGTTCTAAAAATATAGGCTCATGGGTATGTGTCTTTCTGTCTAATGATACAAAAATTGGCACCATTCATTTTTGAACGTTCCCTTGCATGTTTTGTTAGGTGCTATTGTTATTTTCAACTCTAAAAGTTAAGGTAAAATATATATATATTTTTTCATACTTATAACCAAACATCTAAGTTTTTTTCATAATTAATGTTGAATAATCTAATATGCCAATCAACATATAATGTTCAATAATAATAATGATAATTATGTTTCTTGTTTTCAAAATTAGAAAAAGTGTAAGTGGTCCAAAATTCATTAAGAGTTTATCCTAAGAATATCTTCAAAGTTATATCCTTGGATTACTGTATTTTATGGGAATGAATTCTTTTTCTTCCTAGTCTATGGTATCTTTTTGAAAAACTTACACTTTATTCCATTTTGGTCACTCATTTTTACAAAAAATACTTTTGGTCTCTCATGTTTTTTAAAGATATTTTGACACCTTATGTTTTTAATTTATTCCATTTTACTCTTTTATTTTTTCAGATATATTTTTGATCCCTCGTGTTTTCAAAATATGTTTTTGGCCCCTTGTTTTTTTAAATTTTAGAATACACACACATATCAAATTATATTGTTTTTATTTATTAAAATTGATCATTTCAATTTATCATGTTTTATGAAAATTCTCATCAAATTATTTTTTATTATTTTTATGCAATTTTATTTGTTAATAATATGATTTATTTTTCTTTATGTATGGATTTTTAAATATATTTTTAAAAAATAAACAATCAATTAAGTAATAAAATTCACATGTTTTTTTTGGCTTATTCTTGATATAATCAATTTTTTTTGAATAAAATTTTTAGTTTTTTTTATTGTAATCTATTAACTTTATTATATTATTTATGACTTAAGGTTTTTTTTTAATATTTTTTATTTATACTACACATTCGGCTCACTCGAGTATGGT